GAATATCATGAAAAAGTAGATTGATTTCAGTAATTCCATTTAAAAAGTGAAACTTGTATATTATATTCATACATTACATACAAACTCATATATTTCAGATGTTTATTTTGTTTAATTTTGATGATTACAAATGACAACAAATGAAAATCTCAAATTCATCATATCAGAAAATTAGAATATTACTGAAGACCAATAAAAACAAAGGATTTATAGAAATGTTGGCCAACTGAAAAGTATGATAATGAAAAGTATGAGCATGTACAGCACTCAGTATTTAGTTGGGCCTCCTTTGGCCTGTATTACTGCAGCAATGCGGCGTGGCATGGAGTCGATCAGTCTGTGGCACTGCTCAGGTGTTATGATAGCCCAGGTTGCTCTAATAGTGGCTTTTAGCTCTTCTGAATTGTTGGGTCTGGTGTATTGCATCTTCTTCTTCACAATACCCCATAGATTTTCTATGGGGTTAAGGTCAGGAGAGTTTGCTGGCCAATTAAGAACAGGGATACCATGGTCCTTCAACCAGGTACTGGTAGCTTTGGCACTGTGTGCAGGTGCCAAGTCCTGTTGGAAAATGAAATCTGCATCTCCAAAAAGTTGGTCAGCTGCAGGAAGCATGAAGTGCTCTAAAACTTCATGGTATGTGGCTGCGTTGACCCTGGACCTCAGAAAACACAATGGACCAACACCAGCAGATGACATGGCACCCCAAACCATCACTGACTGTGGAAACTTTACACTGGACTTCAAGCAACGTGGATGAAGTGCCTCTCTTCTTTTCCTCCAGACTCTGGGACCTTGATTTCCAAAGGAAATGCAAAATTTACTTTCATCAGAGAACATGACTTTGGACCACTCACCAGCAGTCCAGTCCTGTTTCTCTTTAGCCCAGGCAAGACGCTTCTGACGCTGTCTGTGGTTCAAGAGTGGCTTGACACAAGGAATGCGACAGCAGAAACCCATGTCTTTCATACGTCTGTGTGTGGTGGTTCTTGAAGCACTCACTCCAGCTGCAGTCCACTCTTTGTGAATCTCCCCCACATTTTTGAAGGGGTTTTGTTTCACAATCATCTCCAGGGTGCGGTTATCTCTCTTGCTTGTACACTTTTTTCGACCACATCTTTTCCTTCCCTTCGCCTCTCTATTAATGTGCTTGGACACTGAGCTCTGTGAACAGCCAGCCTCTTTAGCGATGACCTTTTGTGTCTTGCCCTCCTTGTGCAAGGTGTCGATGGTCGTCTTTTGGACAACTGTCAAGTCAGTAGTCTTCCCCATGATTGTGTAGCCTATAGAACTAGACTGAAAGACCATTTAAAGGCTTTTGCAGGTGGTTTGAGTTAATTAGCTGATTAGAGTGTGGCACCAGGGGCCATCAATTATGAACCTTTTCACAATATTCTAATTTTCTGATATGATGAATTTGAGATTTTCATTTGTTGTCATTTGTAATCATCAAAATTAAACAAAATAAACATCTGAAATATATGAGTTTGTATGTAATGTATGAATATAATATACAAGTTTCACTTTTTAAATGGAATTACTGAAATCAATCTACTTTTTCATGATATTCTAATTTTATGACCAGCACCTGTATATCCAGAAAACACAACAAAATAGACATTAAACCAAAAAACAAAAGAAAACATAACAGAACCAAGACCGTGACGGCAATTCTGTGAATAGAAAAGAGGAATTAATTAGATTTAATTAGAGAAAAAATCTGTAATTTACAAACCAATGGTTTAAATAAGTGTGAGAAATCTGTTTTTATTTGCAATGGTAACATACAGCAGTTGCTATGCAGAGGTCTGTGAGCAGAACGGCTCAGGCAGAGGAAGGAGTCTCTTCCTCTCTACGCTGTTGAACTGAGGGAAGGAAGCCTGGAAGGGTCTATCAGGAAGGCACTTTGTAAATTTCTAGATTGTAAAATCTACAGCTCTTAGCTCCCGCCTTTAAAGTAAAAACTGTGCAAAACCAAAGCTCTATAGGAAAGGTAAATCTGACGACCGGCTTAAAGGCATTGTGTGCTTTTTTTTAATGGCCTAAAAACACCATTAAATGATTGTATGGAGTGAATTTAGTTCCAGTATCTTTGCAAGAAAAGAACAGGTTTTGTAAATATGACTGAAAAAAATGCAACCCAGAAATTTAAATTTGAAAAAAGTTTTTAGGGTAAAATTGCTGTTTTCTCTTTTTTTAATGTTTTTTTTTTTTTTTTGTGTTTTTTTTTCCTAAATTTTATTTTTTCAACATGCATTTATTCAAAATGTATTGTTACAAATATTTTTTTTATTTTATAAATTTTTGTTATTTTGACTTTTTTATATTGACTTCAAACTGAATATAAACACTCACCAATAAAAAAGCTGTTGTAAAGGTGAAAGCAGACCATCCATCCATCCATCTTCTCCCACTAATGTCAGGGTAGCGAGGGGAGCTGGTGTCTCCAGCTGTCAGTGGGTGAGAGGCGGGGTCCATCCTGGTCAGGTCTCCAGTCCATTGCAGGGAAACACAGAGACAAACATTCACTCACACCTAAGGAGAATTTAGAGAAGCCAATTAACCTAACAGTCATGGTTTTTTTGGACTATGGGAGGAAGCTGGAGTACCCGGAGAGAACCCACGCATGCTCAGGGAGAACATGCAAACTCCATGGCCGGGAATCAAACCCGGAACCTTCTTGCTGCAAGGCAGCAGTGCTACTCACTGCGCCACTGAGCAGCCCTCAAGCAGACCAATAAGAATAAAAAAAATAAAAAATCCTCATTAGGAGAATTTGATCTAAATTTGAAAAGTAATACAAGATAAAATCACATTTGATATTTGAAGAAAAAACTGGGAAAAATAACAATAATTTTTAAAATAAAATCAGAGAATACAGATAAATTACTCTCAAAATCATTAGGGTTAATGTTTCCTAACAGTGTAAATTCACCAAAGGCTGCCTTCTTCAGCTGACTCTCCACAAACTTCCTGAATGTTACGGGCGACGCCATGTTGGTTTGCTTGTTCACCTCTAGAGAGCAGTAGTACCGTAGATCGCCATTAGGAGACGAGGAACCGTGCTAGAGTGGTGTGTAAACGGTCATAAGTAAACGAGCTCGGTCCGAACGGCACGGATCCTTTTTTAGAGGGGTGCGGAAATGGAGCTATAGACTTTGATGAGCTTGGGGCGAAAACCTTCTCTTGAATTTTGTCATTGACTCATCAGCAATCCGTCATACCAAGCATGCATATAGCGACAATGGAGAGGAAAAACTTCCTTTGTACAGGAAGAAACCTCCAGCAGAACCGGTTTCAGCGCGAGCGGCCATCTGCTGAGGCCCACTGGGGTTCAAGGAGACAGAAGCAGACAACGTCTAGAAACAAAGGTGTTGATGGCAGCAGCACAGCTGATATTTCTCTCCAGGATGGAGTCACAGCCAAGCAGGAACAGACCAGATGAAGCTACTATGAGAGAAAGCAGAGAGAGCATAAAGTAATGGGTGGAATTCAACAAATTCAGAATAAGAGAATATAGATAAACGAAGAGAAGGAAGAAAAGTGTTCCCTATGTCCTCCAGCAGTCTAAAGTTATAGCAGCATAAATCAAAAATAGCTCAGGATAAGAGAACTTTTTTGGATGAGAAGCAGAGAAAGGTTGATTATTGTGATCACCCATGCGTAGGTTCGACCAAACATTTGACTTTGCTTTTGATAAGTTAGTGTTGCATAAACTTGGTGGTTTAAGTTAAAGAGCTTTAGACTAGATTAGAGGTACCCTTTTAGTAAGTAAATGTATGTTACGAATGAATGTCCCATTTTAGGCAGATTTTAGGAGTTCTCCCAGGCTCAGTTTTAGGCCCTGAAGAATGTCTACCGTAAATCTCCATGGAGATGATACGATTCTTTACCTTCATCTAAAGAAATCAGTCACACATTTCAGATAATATCTGGACTTAGTGTTAAGAGAATCACCTCATAAATCCTTGTGTCTTTAGCTTGATGCTACCCCTTTTTTCAAGGGCTTATTGAGCAACCGGTTTTATGTTAGGACATTCTTCAAGAAGCTAAACCAGAATCTATCACTGCTCTGCTCTTTCTGTCATTAGGTGAGCATTTTGCTTATCAATGGGTGCTTTTAATTCCCTTGCTTGGCTTTGGTTAACATTAAGGACAACTGCACGGATATATTCTTATATACAAAGCAGTACGTTTAAAAACTACCGTTTCTGTTTGAGTACGTTCTTAACAGTCAAACCTCTTTCAACACTTGTGATTTGCAGTTGGTGGGAGTTTTAGGACATTCTCTGAATTTGGTAGAAGTGTGTTTAGTTTTCTTTGGTCGATGGTATTTTCTCAATAGACCACCATGTTTTGATGCTCTGCTCTTTCTGGGGGAGTTAAGACTTCTTGAGACTGAACTTGTACCGACTACATCTGCTGAAAAGTCAGAGGCATTTAGTGTCTTTAAACAAGAGGGTGGACGGCCATGGAGTCTGGTGAGGACTGTTCATGGGTCACTCAAAAGAAGGCTGTGATCAGGGGTGTGGTTTCCCCTCAAGTTTATTGTTTGCAATTTCCTGTTCTAAATGTTATTAATAGAAAACAGAAGATGGTAGCGAGCTGAAGTCGTATTTCACTGAAGTCCCAACAGCAGGATATCCCAAAGCAGAAGCTGAAAGATCCCTGCACCTTAAAATGAGAGGATTTTTAACCAAAGGACATTTATTGTTTAGATCCCTCCTTTCTAAAAAAAAAAACCCATCAGACTCTCTGAAAGGGACTTTAAAGCTTTTAGTTTAAAGGTTCATGTAAAAAAATATTAAAGAATCTTAAGACACGTGGATATTTAATTAACTCATATCTTTGCTATGATGATGGATAAACAATGACAGTTAAGACCAGTTAGAGTTGCTCACTTAAAATTAGGCATACCAAGTTAGCTGCACATGATGAGGAAACCAAAATTTACCGCCTGTTGGACCCAGCAGATAATGCTTTTCTTCTTCTCCTTTCAGGCATCATCAGCGGAGTTCTGATTGACCCCACGATGCAGCAGGATTCTACTGCAGCAACGGTAACGAATACAGTTACAGTTTCCCACGTCTCATCCACTGTCAAAGCCTCAACCGCACAGTCTATTGAAACGCTGGAATCCAAGGCAATGACTAAGATCCCGCTGGTCGATCCAGCAACTGTTCATAAAGACGGATCTACAGAACAATCAACTACAACCGCCACACCTTCTACCACTGTAGCAACTGTCCCTACACCACAGTCAACCCCCAGTGTGTCAGTCTTAACTGCATCTACAAGCCCTTCTGTTGGCCTTTTTAATCCCGTTACCACTGTGAGCTCCACCACCCCAGAGGTTAAAACCACAACTAAGGTGGTGAACCAGCCAACAGTGCCTCAAAGCACTGCTACCACAGTGCCTGATTCAATAGTGCAGAGCACGACTGTGAAAACCAGCGGAGCCTCTGGAGTATCGACTGAAAAGCGAGGACAACTTGGTATCAAGGAGACCCCCACAACATCTTTGACAGGGTTATCAGCAGGCAGAGATACCCAAACAACACCATTAACAAGGATGGACGACAGAAACATAGGTAAGGCATGTTTTTACCACAATAATATGCCCACAGAACATCTAAAGTGACAAAAGATAAAATAATTTATTACATTTTTGAAGGGTATTTACTTCATCAATATTCCCAGATCCTATTAGCTGCAGGATAAAGGGCAGATTATACTTCTGCAACTGCACACATCGAATGTCTCTTGGGTCGCAAACCAGTTTAGCTAGTATGCTTCTGCACCGTTGGTGTGGAATTTCTAGGGACGCACAGCAGTTTCCCACCAAAGCGCTAGGGGGAGCCTATTTGAGAACTTGCAAGAACTTTGGCGGATTGTCAAGAGAACTTTTGCAGCTTCAGCGGGAGTGTTTATCTGCCAAAACATCAATTGCGCGTCTGCAGGATACCAGGATCACGGAGATGGATCTAGAGTTGTTGGACATCAAAGAGGATAAGTGCTGTTAATGGAGCGAACCTCCTCGATTAACCTTTTGTCGTAGTTGTCCATTGAAGTTGTTCCAGCACAGGATCGAGAAGGACGGCCACAGAGACACCTGAAAAGGCATACCAAGGACCAATCACAGCTGCTTTTTGTCTGCGTCAGTAGCCTCGTGAGACCATCCTGATCTCGCGAGCTTTCAAGGTTTCACTCGCTAATCAGTCTGGAGACTCTCCGTTACAGAAAATCTGGAGCCGTTCACCAAACGAACGTCCAATCAGCGTTGGCTTTGAGGCGGGTTGAGGTGTGACGCAACGAGAAGCGCGACCGTTCAGTTTAAAGAACATGGCGGCTTCAGCCGATGAAAATAGCGTTAGAGTGGCTATCGAGCAAGTTTTATCAGAATTACAGAGTATTTCTTCACTGAAAGAAGAGCAAAACACTGCTCTGGAGGCTTTTCTCAGAGGAAAAGATGTTTTTGCTCTTCTCCCGACTGGTTTCGGCAAGAGTAGCCTGGCTTGTGGTTGTGTTTTTGTTGTCTGTTAGTACGTCGTAAGCTTCGTTGATCTGATTGGTTTATTTGGACCGTCTATCACCAACATAGGCCAATCAGCTAACCAGTATTTGCTCCCCTTCCCAAAATTACTTTAACGGAAGGTTTCCAGATGGATATGCAGAGCAAATCCATCTGGCGGAGTCAGGTTAGTGCGTCAGAAGCATAAAACGGAGCAAAATGAGGGGAACATTGGTCAAACTTTAAAGGATCAAGTAACAAAGGGGTTTAGGAGGATTGCAGAGGATACTGATTTCCTTCTGGACAGGTTAGCATTAGCAGACCAGGCAACAACTCTTCAGCAGGAAAGTCAGTTAAAAGCTGCTAGATGATGTCATCACCTAAATTGTATATTTAGTTTTGCTTTCATCCAGCCATTGGACAAAAATATCTTATTCTAATATTGAATTTATATCCTGCCTTAGGTATAAAACTAAGAGGCTCTTCTCTCTGTGTCTGCAGCCCCAGCTTACTGTTGACTGACTGCCTGTCTGTTCTTAGGAGCTTGCAGCAGCACTCACTGCTCGCCGAAGACAATAAACTCAGTCCAAATGAAGATTTCACATTGTTAAAGTCTCCAACAATAGAAAGACTAGTAGCTAGATGGGTCTGTAATTGGCTATGGTGGTAACAGTGGAATCAACCAGCTGGAGACCCGTAGAGCGTGAGCTGTCATCACCTTTAAATACTTTAAAAGAGCCACAAAGCAAAGCGTCTCCTGAGACTTTAGGCTGCAGAGCCCAGATCTAGAGGATGAAACAGTGATTTTAGTTGTAGCTCTGGTTGAAGCTAAAAGAACAACACCTTCAATTTCAAACCGCCATCTTATGCTACTTTCACACCTAAAGCAGCAGAATCAGCTGGTTTACATGCAAAGTCAATGGTCAACGCTCAACAAGCTGCAGCAAAAGGTTCTGCAGCGCGTTTGGAGAATTTTGACTGTTTAGACACCACTCTGGCATGGTCCGCCGTCACCTAGTGACAATCTACGGTACTACCGCTCTCTAGAGGCAAACAAGCTAGCCTCAAGAGCTTCTGAGCATCTGAGGAACGTGACGCAGCTCTTAGCTACAGCAGCTCGCAACTACAGCTCACACTATACAACGAAACCGCAGGGTTTAAAAGTTTAAAAGTTCATAGCGTACGATCTTTGTTCTCACATTGTGCGACCCGATGCACTGATGCGATCTACCTGCTCACACTGTACGTCTAAAAACCAGGTGGCACTGACCAATGAGAGATGTTGCTGGTCGGACTCGTCAATTTGGAAGAAAAAGAAGAACTCCCTTGTTTGCACATGCTTGGTGCTCGAGGTTCTGGTAAATCGGCTCGTTGCTCTGCTTCAACAGCAGGATTTGTCCGCCAACACCTTACAGACAAAATTTCAAACATGTTCGATTTTCTCCCGACTTTATGATTCCTGATGGGGAGGAGGTCGTGAGAGGCTGATCGCCCCTCGTTACCCCCTGTATACTACATGGCGCAGGACGCACCATGAGGCTGAAACTTGGCCTGATCAAAAAGTTCTTGCACAAGCTGAGAATCGGCCCGAGAAGGGCAAAAAATCGGAGTGTATGCCTGGCTTTAAGAACAAACTGCACAAACTGAACCGTTCTTCATACTTCATCAAGTCATCAGCGATCTTTCCTCTCTCAGAGCCATTAGATTCCTCGGAAAGCTTCAACTTGTCTCCGTTGAATGTTGGTCAATAAATCACTGAGATGAGATCGACGGTCAAATTGTTGTCCAACATTTAAGGCAACAAGGCGATGCTCAGTTAGTTACAAAGTCTGAAACCTTCTCCAAGACGTCTTATACGGATGTTATCTGACCGACATGTATGTTTATGTATGTATTGCATTTATTTTAGCCCTACGTCATTTTCCGAAGTAGTTACTCCACTTGTCAGGCCGCCATTGTGACTAAGAACTCGTTGTTAATGACTTTCCTGTAAAAATAAAGGTATAATAATAAGTGGCTTTCATTTCTAATTTAAGGTACCACTAAATCGGCTACTACAAAGATAGGTGTGACTCCAAGTGGAACTTCAATCCCAAAGGCGACCACAGGGAGGCCCTCCACCTCCAGCCTTCCTCCTCCTGCTGCCAAAAGCTCAGAAGCCCCAACAACAGCCCGGCCTGAGGAATCTATTGTTTCCATGGCGACAGGGGAGAAGACGATAAAGGTAAACCAGACTAGAACCAGGAAGAGTGGAAATGCTGCCTTTAATCAGCACCTTTTCTAACATACATCTTTTTTTTTTCTTGCAGTATTCTCTGGGTGACCCGAAGGTAAGATCTCACTGCTTTAATTTGCTGTTTCTTTCTGTATTTTTCCACTCATTCTATTCATAAACACGACTCTCGGCGCCATTGTCCTGTCAGGGAAAAGTTGCCCACACCCTTTCCACTTTTTTTTTTTTAGGGGTCCTTGGTTTTTGGACCCTACGGAGAAACAATGCTGTATTTATTTCAGGAACAGTGAATCTGAGCTTCCGTTCAGTCCCAGACTCTCCATCTGAGCCCACATGTTTTAATCAGATATGGTGTCTGATTAAACCATAAGCGTTCGAGAAGATTTCTATTGTTTCCTTGCAGAACAATATCTCCTTTAGATGTAATTGTTTGAATACTGGGAGATATTTTTAGGGTTTGAGTGGCACTGTTGGATTGGAAGAAGCATGAAAGTTTAAATATGGCTGATTGAACGTAGCTCAGTAAAGCCTCACATCTTGGGAGAAATGGAGATGAAATTTGTAGAAAATAGCTGAAATTAACTTAGATGGGATGGAGAGCGACTGAGGCCCATTCAGGGAGCAAACATTGGTCTGGACTTTGACTAGGCCGCTCTAACGGATGATTTGATTTGAGCTATTCTATCGGACCTGGTGCTGGATGCTCAGGGCGTCGACGTCTTAGCTGAGTTTTATGATTTATATTATTTATATCTTCATCTTTTCTTTATTTCTGTCTTCCTAATTAGAATTGGTCAAGAGGAAATGTTTTAACTGGGCTTGAAGTGAAAAGAAGGCATTTGAATTGACTCCTAAAACTCAAACAGAAAGAAATTTGGAAAGAAAAGAAAAACAGGTTTCCCTCCCGGGTTCCCGTTTAGGTGGAAGACCATCTTTTTTAAATTTTGGTCGTTATCTTTTCATTTGATGATGGCGTCTTTAACGGCGCAGGAACGTTCCCAGTTTGGTCCAGAACCCGTAACCGAGCAGCTGGGTCCATTCTGGGGGGAAAATCATGATTACGAAACAGAAACCAATCCTTTAGTCTGGATTTTATTCATCTTTCAGGGTTTTTCTCCGAAGCGGCTCTAATTCTAATGAATGGGGCTCTTCTATAGAGGTTCTGCAGGTCGGGCCTCATTATTGAAGCACAGGCTGTTGGCTGCAGAGTCTGGTGTGTGAAAGGATGAGGCGGAGGGTTCAGAAAGAGGCCCTGAAGCTGCACAGAAAGGCAGCCAACTGCAGGCGGCTGCAGTGTTAAAAACAAGCTGCTTTTTCAGCTAAAGTGTCTTTTTTTCAGAGCCGAACTGCTGCTTAGGGAGGATGATGAAGATTTTACACCTGATGACAGGTTTAGCTGCTGGAGCAGCAGCTGATCCAGTGGATTTTCATCCATCCCACACAGACAGAAAGAAGCTCATCAGACAGGATGTTCCTGCAGCTTTTCACTTTTTTTTTAATATAATTTTTTCATGTTTTTGAAGCGAATAATAGATTTTTATGAAGGTAAACTTTAACCTCCGGAGAAGCAACTAGTTTTTGTGCCTAATGCAATAGGAAGCAGTGATGTTTTCTACATAGAGAATCAAGAACAGAGTGGAAAAGCACCTTTTCCTGCCTCATTTCTATCCTCTGCCTCGTCTTTGATCTCTGGATCTCAGACCAGGAAGATCTAACCTCTTTTTTCACCTCTGACCTCATCTCTGTCTTTTTCTTTAACATGCATTTTTTTTCTCCTTTGCAGACAAAGGAAAACAAGATTGTTGAGGACCTTTGTGAGAAATTCATGTCCCTCTTAAAGGGGGGAAACTGCTCTGTGACGCTGCAGGACGGCAAAGTGCAGTTTGACAGTCTGGAGATCACCGGCTACGGTAAAGCAGCCTTCAGCTTTTAGTCGAGACTCAGATGGAAACATTTTATTCAATCATGGATTCTCCCTGCAGTCAAAGAACGGCTCGTGATGGAGGAACACGAGAAGATGACGAAGGAACCTGCAACAGTAAGACGGATGGTCTGGATTATTTATTCCAGGGCTGTTGGTTTCTGGGCTGAAGCTCCGTCTGGTTTGTTTCACAGACAGAGACTGACAGAGGAACCCTGATAGCCATCCTGGCCTCCTGTGGAGCCCTGCTCATCATGATCATCACACTCGGCGTCTGCGTCTCCCATCGCCGTAAACCGTACAACGAGACGCAGGTATGCCGTAAACGTTTATCCTCCAGGAAAAACGGCTTTGAGCTCGTTGGACTTTCATCCAACTAACGGGGTTGAAGTGAAGCCACCGGCCGCCATATTGGTACTCCCTAGTTAGACCAGTCGCAATGTAAACAGTATGTTAGCTACAGCAGCGAACTCTGCTCTCCAGAGCGAGTAGATTGGTAACCCCGCCTCCTGCTCTCCTCTATCTTGTCTGCTGTCATGATTCATGCAGCTATTATTTCATCCAAATGAAAAATGGAGAACAGAGAAGCAGATCATGGCTTGTCTACAGTGAAAAGAAGGACTGGGTTATTTACTTTGGCCTTTTTGGAAACACAGGAAGGAGCAATCAGCTAAGTGAGCTTAGTGCTTGGAAAAAATCTTTCATTCCTTTAGAGACAGCATGAAAAGTCAGCTGAGTACAAAACACAGAGAGGAAAACAACAAGAAAAGGGACAAGAAGAGAGGGACACAACCTAGAACAGATAATGGATGTCTATTCTATTAACATTTCTCTATAAGGCCCCAAATTTCCTAAATCCGCCCGTCATCGCTGAAGTTACTTTGCAAAACTATAACTGCTCCCTTTAGGGGCTGAGTACATAGATATACGAGTGTAGATTTTATTGTTTTTCTGTAGATTGACCCTCAGTTGGGTCAGTCAATCAGTTTTTGACCCCCCCCCCCCCCCCCCCCCCCCCCCCCCCCCATTCTAATTTTCTGGCTCCCCTTCTGTAACCTGACTCCGCCAGATGGATTTGCTCCGCATATCCATCTGGAAACCTTCTGTTGAAGTAATTTTGGGAAGGGGCGAAAATACTGGTTAGCTGATTGGCCTATGTTGGTGATAGACGGGCCAAATAAACCAATCAGATCAACGAAGCATATGACGTACTAACAGAGCGACGACGAAGAGGAGCCAATTGATAGATCAAACTCTTGCTGAAACCAGTCGGGAGAAGAGCAAAAACATCTTTTCCTCTGAGAAAAGCCTCCAGAGCAGTGTTTTGCTCTTCTTTCAGTGAAGAAATACTCTGTAATTACGATAAAACTTGCTCGATAGCCACGCTAACGCTAGTTTCATCGGCTGAAGCCGCCATGTTCTTTAGACTGAACTGTCGCGCTTCTCGTTGCATCACACCTCAACCCGCCTCAAAGCCAACGCTGATTGGACGTTCGTTTGGTGAACGGCTCCACATTTTCTTCAACGGAGAGTCTCCACACTGATCTGTGAGTGAAACCTTGAAAGCTCGCGAGATCAGGATGGTCTCACGAGGCTATCCCTTCTGTGCATCGGGGTCATTCAGTCTACTGTTGTTGCCCTTAGACTTTCGCACCATGATAAATTACATCTGTCATAACCAGTCAGTCAGTTAACCTGGTAAACTGTTTCACCAGACTTCAAATCATTCTGAATGTTTTCTTTTTGTCTTATGATTAAGAAAAACCTCATAAGACACAAATTAAAGCACATTTTAACAGCAGAACTAATTCATGAACAAAGATTTTTTTTAAAAGAGCACTGATCTAAATTAGATTCTCATTCAACGTCTAAATCTTTATTCAGACTCTTAAACTTCTCGGAGGACCTGCTGTCTGACCTTTATTCTAATCTTTTTCTCTACGCAGCAACACCTGACTGAAGAGCTGCACACTGTGGAGAACGGTTACCACGACAACCCAACGTTGGAGGTGATGGAGGTGCAGCCAGAGATGCAGGAGAAGAAGGTGGCCCTAAACGGGGAGTTCGGGGACAGCTGGATCGTCCCCATCGACAACCTGATTAAGGAGGACAATCCTGACGAGGAGGACACCCATCTGTAGGGACTTCTGTCCAATCGGACTCCGGATCTCCACCCGCCTTCAGGAAGTACGTCGCTCAGAACCGAGTCCTGACTGTATGACGCGGTTCTGTGGTTTGGAAAAATAAAAAATAATCACCCAATCCAACCTGTGGGGCTAAATTGAAAAGCTTCCATCATCAGCAGCGTTTCTCCTGGTATTTTACACGGTTGATGCTCTGCTCACATTCGCAGCTTTAAAAGACTTCACTGCTTTTTGACCAATCAAAATCTGGGATTTTTCTCCACTTCATGAAGCGGGGTAATCCATCCTGTAGAGTCACGGACCTGTTCTCAGCAGCCCCTAGTGGCTGTAGTTACTTATTGCATTAGAAAAACTTTTTTTCCTAGTAGCTGAGAATGAACTTTTTTATGGCGCTTAACCCTCGATCAGATGCTGCTCCGGGTGAAAAGCCACGCCCTCAATGTCACGAACCGCCACCGCCCAAAAAACAAGAAGATGAAATAAAATGGCCGTGCTTCTTGTTTCTACATGAGTGATGGAGGAACCAGGAAACGTCTTCCCGTTTGACCGGAGTCAGAAGAACGAGTCCATCTCTAGTCTTCAGCGGGTTCTGACTTTCTAGCTTAGATGACCTTCAGGATTCTGCTGATTGACAGAGAGAAGCTGAGGAGGTTCTAACCTTCTCCCCGAGGCGGCCCGTCCTGCAGCAACGGGCTCAGCTAACGGTTGTTTTATGGAATATCAGATTTCTTTAAATTTTTGGTCAGAGGAGTTTGATCATTTATTTCCAAAATATGTGATTTTCAAGAGACAATCAGAACCAGTTCCAGTCGAACTTTTGGTTCCTTTCTTCCTCACAGCTTGGTACAGAAATATTACGAAAATTCCAGGTTGAACAAAAACTAAATATTTGTTGAATGTGTTTCTCTGTAGCAGAAACGGCTACCGTTAGCACGAAGGCATCCAATAAGCTCTAAATTAGCTTCCGAACTTCGTTAGCTCATGAATCCAAATATGGCGCGCCGTCATCGTCCCACTACTTCCTGTCTTCTTCTTCTTTCTACAACGCAGTTCTACATTAGGGGGAGCGGCGGCCTAGTGGTTAGAGCATAGAGCTTGGAATCCTAAGGTTCTAAGTTTGAGTCCCACTCCCACAGACTGCCACTCTGGGTCCCTGAGTAAGACCCTTAACCCCACACTGCTCCCCAAGGGGAGGGGTAAAATACAGAGAGTGGATTCTGTACGTGTGGCAGTGGAATGACAATAAAACACTGAGGAAACAAACATTAAGGGCCGTCCCAAATCCTGTAGTGGGTAGGGCGAGTGGGCTGATCAGACCTTAAATATTTGGCAGCGGGTGTAACAGCGGCTTGATGGTGGAGGAAACGCCTGCATCTAAATAAATAAATAGTTTCGCAAGGTAGTTTACGGGAAAAAAAAAACGCAATGAAATCCAAAAGTTTTAGACCGTATATATTTGTTTTAAGAAAGGGGCAAATGTAATGTTTTAAGTCACCCTTGGCCACAGAGCTACAGCCACGCACATGGGGCGTCACTGTGTTGCCATGGCAACAGCTGCTTTCGATTTCCATCTAAGGGAAGAAGCCGTCCCATTTTCGTTTATACCCCCCACCTTTAATCAAGGCGCCTTCCACAGCTAAGAGTTCGACTTTACTGCGATGAGAATTGGTCGTTAAGGGTTAGGGTAGGGAGGTTTGGGGGATTTTATTAACTAGGGGTGTGATTGGCTAGCCTGGGTGCCATTCCGAACTTAGTCCGGCCCACAAGGTTTGAGGTCGGGAAGTTCGGTCTGGCTCTGCTCAATAGTAGCGCGAGTATGCTCGCCCAATATCTGGCGATCCAATCAAATTGTCAGGGCGGGCTTTATACGATGATGGACAGATGATCAACAGTAACGTAATCAACCACGTGACCAAAGCGCGCTTGGGTGACAACAACAATGGCTGCCGCTGGAGAGTTGAGGTGAGTAGATTCTGCTATTAGGTCTGTTCTAGAAGATATTGACAGCAAATTAATTTTAAAAGAGGAACAGAGAAACGCCATCAAGGCTCATCTTCTTATTCTAGGCGTGCAACTGCACGCTTTGATTTTTGTTGACAACAACTATTCGTCGCTTAACATACGTCACGCACTCCGTTGCTCTTATTGGTTGTAGGTCTATCCAATTGAGTGCAGAGGCATTTTTTTTCCTGGTTCGTTCGAAACACGCCCCATAATCACAGCTCTATGGAGCAGCATCAGACTCATTCTGACTAGAATTGAGTAGGACTACGTCAGGCTAGTGATTGGCAAGAATTTGATTAAACAAATTCACGATACGATTTATCGCGAAACATTAGAACAACAATGCGATTTTTGGCCTTCGATAAACTCAGAAGATATCGGTTTGATCTGCTGTAGCAGGAGCAGAAAAACCGAATGGTCTGTTTGGTGGTGTGCTGCCCCCTAGTGGCTGCTGGTCTGAGTTACAATAATATTGATGTTTGCTTGTTATTTTTTTCTGGTTTTAAATCGAAGATCCATTGAAGCGTATTTTGAATCAATACTAATATGTATTAAAATATTGATTTTGGTAGAAATATAACCATATTTACCCAAAATTTATTAAACAAAAAATCCTTTAAGGTCTTTAGACCTGGAGACGTTAGCGAGTCATCAGTTGCTGCGAACAAATTAACTTCTATCTTTTCCAGAGGATCAATAAAAAACATTTGCCTCTAAAAAAGCTGTTTTAAGCAAACCTGTACATAGATGTAAAATGTTTTGTTTTTGTAAAAGAAGTGCAAGTTGTTGCTGATAGAGGATCCAAACTAGTTTGGTGACGATCATATAAAAATAAAAAATTCACACAGAATCGCGTCTTTTCTTTAACTTCCATAAAGAGCTTTATATTTAGCTTTATTATATAAAAGAAAATCTGTCTCTTCCATCAAAGGCACCAATGTTTGTGTGTAAAATTTCACTTTTTTTCCCGGCTCTGCCACTTTCACCTTTTACCGGCTGTATTTATGTTTGGTTTGCTGTTGCAGGCAGACGACAGGGGTCTGACACACTGGAAAATGTCAAATGTGGACGGCTGTTCGCCGTCGTCCTTCTTGTATCTTTTCAGATTTGCTAATAAAATGTTATTTTTTTTTGTCATTTTACTCGTGGCATCTCTCTGTAATACATCCACACAGCCACCAGGGGGCAAGGGAGGAAAAAGGGTCCCTGAAAACAAGCGAGAAAAAACTTGAACAAAATACAATCTTTATTTTTTTATATACATTACATACAATGCAATACTACAAGGCTTTCTACACATTCTGTGGTTCTTATGGATCTGAGAGCCAGGGCCTTAAAATGCCCCCGACCCACAGGGGCTCGACAGGCGGGCCGTCCAGATCAATGGAAATAAGTTATGACACAGCAAAGGTAGAGGGACCGATTCCCTGACACATGGCGGGAAAAGGAAAACAAAGTGTTTGGCATCGTTTGTAATACAACTTGTTCAGAATGAAGCAAAACCTGGTAAAAAAAAAAAACATGATAATAAAGGCTTCAGCAAAGTGGGGGGGTGCTGACTATATCAGAATAACTTTAGTAATCTTCCTTATTTACCAACATCTAGAGAGGAAACAAACAACTTGATTACTTTCAAAGGTTTATCTGTTTTAGTAACTTCATTTTAAGAAAAGTGAAACTAAAAAAAGAAACGATTTTAACCCGCCGTCATGTAATCCAAACCAAAGGCAGAATTAACCCCAACAATTGCTTAAAATGAATCAATCAATTAAATAGTTCACTAGTTCATGATTCCTCCTTTTCCTCACCGCTGCAACCGGAAATTTCTGAAATATTAACCCAGTTATGGAAAACTGTTCGCCTCACAGCTGAAGCTACGACCTCTGCAGTTGGCTAACTCCTGCAGCAGCGTTACAGCCTCTGCAGCTAGCGACATCCTGCAGCAGCTAGCGACATCCTGCAGCAGCGTTACGGCCTCAGGCGCTAGCTTCAGCCTGCAGCAACATTACGGCCTCAGCTGCTAGCTACGACCTCAGCCGTTAGCTACGGCCTCAGCAGCTAGCTACAACCTCAGCAGCTAGCGACATCCTGCAGCAGCGTTACGGCCTCCGCAGCTAGCGACATCCTGCAGCAGCTAGCGACATCCTGCAGCAGCGTTACGGCCTCAGGCGCTAGCTTCAGCCTGCAGCAACATTACGGCCTCAGCTGCTAGCTACGACCTCAGCCGTTAGCTACGGCCTCAGCAGCTAGCGACATCCTGCAGCAGCGTTACAGCCTCAGCAGCTAGCGACATCCTGCGGCAGCGTTACGGCCTCAGCTGCTAGCTTCAGCCTGCAGCAGCGTTACGGCCTCAGCCGCTAGCTTCAGCCGGCAGCAGTGTTACAGGCTCAGCAGCTAGCTAACTCCTGCAGCAGCGTTACGGCCTCTGCAGCTAGCTACGACCTCAGTAGCTAGCTACATCCTGCAGCAGTGTTACGGCCTCAGCAGCTAGCTAACTCCTGCAGCAGTGTTACGGCCTCAGCAGCTAGCTACACCCTGCATTAGCGTTATGGTCAGGTTGAATGAAAAGGAGGCCGGCCAGCGCAGGTTGATGCTGAGGCCGTTGATCTTTCACAGTTTGCTGAGAGAGAACAGCGTGGCTTCATTTGCGATTGAAAACACGGTTTGTTTCTTCGGGCCTAAAGGTTTCTGCTCCTCCTCTACAGCTCAGGTGGAGCAGCTGCCGGTCTGGAAGAAGAAGTTGCTTTCTGGGGACCAGAATCTAGCAGAACCTGGTTAGCTTAGTTTAAATCAGTTTTAATATGCAGCCGTTTTAAATCTCTTAAACTAGCGCTGGCGCTAAAGCTACGTCTCTGAACCAAACGCTTGATTCACAGCCAGTATTCAGTTCTGAAGAAAAAATCCAGGAAGCCAATTATAGCTCAGAATCATCAGATCTATGAAACTCTCCGTTAGTTAATCTATTTAACGTTTCTTTAGAGACGCATTAAACCCAAAATAAGACGGGTTTATAAAGTGAAGCAAAGCAGCGGCGAGGATTTCCATTCTGAGGCACGGCGACCGACAATCAGCCCAAAGCCATGAAAAGCCTAATGGTTCGATCCGATTTATTCCTCCGGGTCACGACCCCGTCGGCGGTTTATCCTGGAAGCAGGAGAGAAAAAGCTGAACTTCTTTAAGCTTCGTTTGCAGAAAACTGCAATTCGCTTTCCTCCATTTCTGACTTTACCCTGGAAATAATCCATCAGCCGAGCAATCATTGGTCACCATCAGGATTCATCTGGACGTTAAAATGAGCTGCAGCTTTAAAGGCAGCAGAGGTTCTAACACCGATCTCAGGCTGTTGCTTCATCGCTTCCATAAAAACGGATTAGGAATGAATATAGAGAGAAAGAAAACTCCTCTATGAGCCGATGATGAACCTGGCTGATCTGGATCTGTGCGGACTTT